ATATACTATAATTTGACATAAGTAACTAATATATTTGTTGATAGAAGCTTATTAAGTACATACATATTCGGCGTATGTATCATTATACAGTGTGGAACAGTCAAATTGAATAAATTCAGTATGTATCTCAATTATTGTGCACATATAAAAATTTAAGGGTTGTAACTGCCATTCGAAGGGGGTTGAATTTAGGGATGAAATTTTTACGTTACAGGCAGGTCATTTCAGAAGCCAAAATCCACGTGTCTCGGGATTTTTTATAAATTTGCACAATAATTGAGATAGTGAATTTATTCCATTTGACTGTTCCACATTGTATGATAACGAAATTGAATTCCTAAGAATAAGATAAGAAATTATCGTCAATTAAAAGATAGAGGATGCATAGAAAACAATAAGGAGGTGATATAATATTCAAAGTGCTTTTATCATTTAATATACTGTCCTAAATTCGTGTACGGGGAACTACCATTATGTTCTCTGATTCAAAATAATACAATTTAAATAAACTTGCTTCTATTCAAAATTGTTTCGTTTAGCTGCTAGAGCAGGGGTCGGCAAGTAATTTTAGGTGCGGTCCGGATACTTTTGAAAATTTTTAACGAGGTCCAGAAAAAAATTCATATTTCTTATTTTTTTTATTTTAATTTGGACTCAAATTTATTCTGCTTACTTCACACAATTGTAAAATACTAGAAAAAATGATAAGATTGGCACTTAAACGTAAAAAACATTTTTTAAATAATTTATTTGAGTAATTTATACTTTCAAAAAACTTTTAGCGGACCAGTATTTTACCTTCCGCGGTCCGGACCTGGACCGCGGTCCGCCAGTTGCCGACCCTTGTGCTAGAGGGATCAAGTTGCCAAAAATTGTTAGTTTTTTTTTCAAATAAGTACCTATAAAACGATTTGTAACTTATAAGTAAAATCTAGTATGCAGGCAGCACTTAGGAGATATTTGAATCGTAATTATAATAAATAATACTGTAATTCATTTGGAGTGAGCAACTGAAACATTTCAAGCAAAAAATTCAAGGGCAAAAAATATTTAAAAAAAGGAAACGTTAATACATATTACATAGCTGTTTTTTGTTATATCTTATTCCTTTATATAATGTATAGAGAATTTGTCTTACCCAAAATGCTTTTGAAAATATGAATGTATGTGTTTTTTTATTCATTTCATTAAGCGTTATTGAATCCATGTTCATAAGAACTTTTTTCCATAAAATCAAGTTCATCACATTACTTTCGACGCAAATAGATATGTTAAAATAAAAATAAAATGCTTAATTATATATTTGTGTTACATTAAGTAGTAATAAAATATTTGACGCGAAAATAAGTAATAAACAAAAAATAATTCAACTAGAGAACATAGCTGTTAAAACCGATAAGTTAAAATAAATAAGTGATAAAGTATTAGTTCGATTAAGAAACTGGATAAGTTTTATTTTGACCTCGGTACGACGACAATATATTTTTTGCATACAGAGCACTGAAAGGAAACGAAAACCACCTAAAAATGTTGTATAATGTATGAAATTATAAAATTTCTTTAAATTTAATAATTATTTATTAGCGCTAATATTCACAGAAAAAGAACATTTTTAGTTCCTACGTAATTTGAACTATGTATTTAAAATACAGATGTACGCATTGACGGTAATACTTGCTATTAAACTAGTACAATATAAAATCGCGACTGCGTCATGTTTGAATGGAATATTTTAAATGGAAACTTTCCGGAGGGGAAGCATGTACTCGTATATGTATGCCATATAAATGCTTTGCTCCTGCTTATCATTAGATTCGGCATTATTTAATCTTTCATTTTAAATAAAAATAGAGAAAATATTTATTTGCATTAATAAAAAATCTTTCTGCAATATAGATTGAAAAAAAAATTGGGTTTCGAGTAATGACGTCATCGACATTTTTTTAAAATAGCAACCCCCTATTTTTTTTCTTGATTCTGAAAGATCGTTTCATTGTCGATCTGACAGTATTAATATGTTGCCCTCTTACATAGAAAAGTTTTCGAGTAAATGACGATTGAATGTTAGAAAACCCAAATCAATTAAAATAAAGCCAAAACGTTATTAAATTTAGTTTTTCGAAATGCTTGAAGTTTTTTATGGATCACGTATGTGTAAATCTTTACAAAGTGTCACTGTCATATCGGCTTTCTAAGTATTGTGAGCGATATAAAAATTAATGTTGAAATTAAAGTATTATGGCACATTTAACTGTCGCACAAAGAATTGAAATTTTAATTCTTATCGGATGCGGGGATAAGACTAGAACGCAGCAGGAAGTTTGCGATTTATTTAGTAAGATTTAGTCAGTAAGATAAACTCTAAAATTAGAGAAACTGGCAATGTTGTAGATATTCCAAAACCTGGACGTCCAAACGTTAGTAAAGATCACAAACAGAACATTTTGATAAGTATGGTAGATACAGGCCCGGATCCAGGGGGGGTGGCGATGTGGCGATCGCCACCCCCAAAGCACAACATTTTTTAAAGATCTTCAATTTCTCCATACGACAACAGGCAGTTAGTCGATATTAATGCAAGTAGAAGGATTCATTAGTGTCAAGCTCCTCTGAAAGAAGTGCTTTGCGCCACCCCCAAAACCAGTCTCTGGATCCGGGCCTGGGTAGATAATCCTCATAATACTTCACGATTGGTCTACATTAAACAATGAAATTAGTCAGACCACAGTGCTACGTATCCTCAGGAAGGAAAAATAACATCACTACAAAATTCAACTTGTGCAGGAACTCAATGAAGACGATCCCGACCGCCGCTTACACTTTTGTGAAATTATGATGGATTTATGTCAAGTAAATAGAGATCTACAGCGGCAAATACTTTTTTCAGACGAGGCCACGTTTTGTCTCAATGGTACAGTGAACCGTCAAACTTGCAGGTATTGGAGTCGGGAAAATCCTCATTGGATGGCAGAGACACACACCCAACACCCACAGAAATTAAATGTGTGGGCTGGAATAGTGGACAATAGAATCCTTTCTTCTTTGAAGGAACCCTTACAGGAGAAAGACATTTAGAGTTTTTACAAAATGACCTTGTTCCAGCGCTTGCAGTAATTTTTCCTAACGATAATGACCCTGATATTCCTGATGACACCATGTGGTTTCAGCAAGACGGTGCACCTCCGCCCTATGCGCGCCCTGTTCAAGATTTTCTGGACAATTGTTTTCCTAGGAGGTGGCCCGCGAGATCCCCAGATCTTACACCCCTGGACTATTTCTTATGGGGCTACTTAAAGTCCAAAGTGTACGTTAATAGACCACATAATTTAGAAGAACTCCAAAATTGTATTATAGATGAAATACACAGAGTTACCCCGGAAATAATTCATAATGTGCAAGAAGAATTTCTACACAGACTTGTGTAATTGTCAAGAAGTCGGTGGGTGACAATTCGAACACTTAATTTAGGTAGAAAACTTAATGAATTGTATTTGCTTGACATAGAAATTGTTATTTTTTTAATGAATAAAATTTACGTTTTCTAACATTCAATCGTCATTTATGTCCTATGTAAGATGGCAACATTTTAATACTGTCGGATCTATCTTTCAAAATCAAGAAAAAAATAGGGAGTTGCTATTTTAAAAAAATGTCGATGACGTCATTACTCGAAAACAAATGACGGTTGAAAATGGCCTTTTATGCTAAAATATGTATTTTTTAAATTAAAAATCGACCTGTTCGAGGATTTTTCCCAAAAAAAATTGTTTTGTTTTTACTGAATTTATTCCATACTTTAGGCGCATACTGTATAATACTAATGTGTTCGTATATCAATTTATGCATAAAATACAGAACGTAATATTTTTAAATAATAAATATTTCGACTATAATTTTTGTATGTATTTTTCTGACGTAGGTAAGGCTCTTTCTGTATTCATATTTGTCACAATCAAATATCTAAATATCAAAGAAGTAAATCATAGTATGTACATTATACACTGAATTATGGTTTACCAAGATACAAACGTCTACATACATCAGAAACTGGTCCTTATGGACTAAATGTTAAATTTCACATTCTAGGGAAATCTTAATTAAAAAAGTCCCTATTTATGTACTTCCGTAAATCAATCATCCTGTACATTTTACTTTTTCAGACTGTGGCAAGGCTAAACTTTCATGTAAACCAACAACAGTGACAAACAGGGTTACTATAAACTAGAAAACAATGACTTACCAGCACTTATAATAATATTCTGCCAATCAGAGGGAATTCCATCCCTCCTCTCTATGTATTCTGCCACGTGTCTGCGAATTATTTCTATCCCGGGGGAATCCGTATATGATCCTACTGACCCGCCTCGGCATCCTGACAAAATCTGTCTTGCCCTTTTCTTTGTATCGTCTGGAAAGCTCGGATCGTCGAGAAGTTTTGGATACGTGACCAACGCCAGGATCTGTCGTATGAAGGTAATAGGTACTTGTCCCATGGCATGGCAATCACCAATATTTGCTTTTATGACTTCCGTAAACGGTTTCTTCACACCCTGCAACCGTAAATCGGAATGTCAATGATAATTGTGTCGACATTTTAATTACAAAAAAGGGATTTTATGAATGTTTTGTATTTCATGTTCTAACATTTATAATTGTGTACATTGTGTACACTGTGTACATTGTGTACATTTGTAATTGTGTCGACATTTTAGGTACAAAAAAGGGATTTTATGAATGTTTGTATTTGAGCTTTTGAGCACCACGTAGGAGTTTAGTATAGTTCTCCCATTCATGTTCTAACATTTATAACAATTGCAACCTAATAACACTTTTCGTTAACGAAATTCAGGTTACTCCGAGACCACAATGACAAGAACTATATAGGGTGTCCCACCACGAACTCATCTGGGAAATCGCTCGAAGTATTTTTTTTGAAATTGTGATGGTGTGATACGGACTGTGGAGTTTACGAAGATAAAATATTTTCAAGTTCATCGTACTTCGATACTAACTTTCTTATTTTAAATCCCTGTATATTATTGCATTCTTGGAAAGAGCATACATTTAAGTTGAAAACATATAGCACACTCCATACTTAGGATTGACCGTTCTCGAGATATTTTGATTTTTAAGCAAAACTTGACAGATGCAGACTGTCGGCATTTAGTTTTCCCGGAAACATAGGTTTATTTTTTTGTGCAAATTGGACATTTTTTAGAGGAAGACCTAATTTATAGCATTTTACATGAAAATTTTCTAGATTTTTTGGCGGACATGTTTTTTTATAGTAGCACGAAATCTATTTTGTAGCCACCGAAAATCTACGTACATGTGAGAGATATTATATGAAACCACTATTTAAAATAAGTAAATTGAAATATCAGTATGATGTAAATCATTGACATTAATGACATTAGATAAGGTTTTAGTTTCAATATTTGTTAATTGTCTACTCTTCGTAAGCGATACATGTCCAATTCAACGGCATTCAAAAAAATATATTTCTCATTTGACGCTGCGTATATTATACTTTCTTTTATTATTAGCGTTTGTAGTTTAACTACTTTACTTTAAAAGATATTAGGTCACGGGATCAAGAACGCATGACGTCATTTAGTGCGACCGAGAACGCAACCCGACGACGGGACGGAACCTAATCTTAAAAAACGCGCATTCGGAAAGCCTTTGCGATTCTCGATTGCACTAAATGACGTCACGAATTGGTGCGGTAGCAAATATCCGTTTAAAATATTTATTTTGCGGGCCAATCTTTAATTAATAGGGAGTTTTTGCATAAGGTATTTACGAATACGATAAACGTTAAAAACACGTGACTGAATACCGTATTGACAAATAGCGTGTACTGAATGCTTCCAGTTTTTGCATATCGTGTCGTTTATCCGCAATGGTAAAGCGTGTCCTAACCTCAATTCTGACGGTTATGCTTTCATTTGATACTCTTGCGGTAAAAGGCAATCGGCAAGTGAAAGAAAAATGGATGGATTATTATTCGTACACAAAATTACTATCCTAAATGCACGGTAAACTAATACCGTAATCTGGGTTGGATATCGGAATACCGTAACGATAAACGCCAACGGTAACTGTCGCACATGCGCAATGCCCTCTCACGTGACTTTACCGTTTACGGTATTCTTAAAACCGATATGCAAAAACTCCCTATTATTAATCTCTAATTGAAAGAGATTTCTAATAATTTCACTACATGAAAGAAACTAGTAAAATAAAAAACCGAGTAAAATACCTGTATTTTAATGCTCGAATATTCAATGCTATCTATAGCATATAGGAATAGGAATAGATCTATAGGAAAATCCGGCATTATTTAGGTAGGTGAGTGAAAGTTACGGATTCTAATTTTGTTAAACTGAACTTATTTGACACTTTAACAAAACTGCAACACGCACAGTTGCTATGAAAAAATACATAACTCAATTTGGAGCTAAAATATAAAGGATATAGGTAATCCTTAACCTACTATAATTATACATTTGTGGCATTTTTTTAATGGTTCTCTTCAGTGTAGCATAAATACACAATTAAATAAACGCCAAATTTAATTATATTCTATGTAGAACTTTTATCATAACCTTTCCATTCCTGCTATTGTATTTTTATTATTAACGTGATGCACCATATTGTATAGATCACATGACTGTTAAACTATTAAGTCTAATATATCGCAGTTTGTTTGCCGCCAAGTTATTTTTAATTTTATCTTTTCTTAAACAGTTGGAAACACTATTTAAAACTGATGCAACCATGAAATTCTTAAATAAAATACGGAGACTAAAGAAACAGATACCTACCCATCTGAATCAACTAAAATTTGTATCAATCAATTTGGGTTCATGCTGCTTTTTATTCCATTATAAAAAATTCTACTAGTTCTAAATAAATATTTATTTACGACGATATAATAAGTCCTTTTCAAATAATGACTAATGAGTGTAAACAATAAAGTAATCCGTGTAAAAATAATGACATAGACATTTATATAGGACTACCCAAAATAAACTTAGATAATCATAGAACATTAAGTACATATAGTCTTTCTCTTTCTTATTTACATGTTTAAAAATTTGATTATAACTACGACTGAGAAAACACAGAATTTTGTCCGAAACTCTGACTACAGATATCGTGTCGCCCAATAATTAATTTTTGGTGTTTATACCTTGGAAAAAAATTTGTGTAAATAAATTACAATAAAAAAATATCGCGTGTGCCACTGGATTCTATGTAAAAAACTGTGTACATAATTTCTTTACTCAAATTAAATATTTTCATAAACAAAAATGTTATAGAGCACCTTAAAAACGACTAAAATTGAAAATCACTCCTGATGTTTAAACTAGTTTTTTTTTTCTATCTTTTCGGGAAATAGAAAATGTCGAATTTGACCCAACCTGTACAGAATATTTTTTGTTTTAGATAATTTTACACAACCTCGCAGGAAAGAGAATTCAATGTGTGATAGATTAGACTCCCATACCCATACCCATACGTTACCACCATTTGGTGGATTTAAACTTGAAGGCAATGTTCAAGATTGGTGCAAGATCAACTCTTGTTTTTCAATTGATCATGCCACAGATACCCTTTTGGAGCAGTGTCACCGTCTCCAGTATATTCTGAGGTAGCAGGATTTGAAATATCCTCATTGTGAAACCAATCAGCCACAAGCTGAGAGTATGTAGAACCAAATTCTCGAATAAGAAGTCTATCATTGGCATTTTTATCAAAAGTGATAAAAACCAGACCTCATATAGACGATTCTAGTGATTTTTTATCAAAATGACCTTCAAGGTCAAATCTAATGTCTCCAAGCGGTCTCTGACAAACAAAACAGGTCATTTTTTCGATATTTCGCCGAGATACCAACCTGAGAAGTTCGAGAAGGGGATTTGACTCTTAAATGATTTTGAAAATGAAAAAAATACTTAACCACGTCTCCAAACGTAAAATTTCCCGTTCTTTTAGAAATTTTAGTACTATCAAACGACAAGAATTGACCTTCAAATAACCTTGAACATAACCTTAAAAAATAAATCATCCACGAATTACGAACGTAAAATTCCATCTTTCAGAATCCGGGGACAAAAATTGCATTACCGTAAAAAAACAAGAGTGAATCTTCAAACACTGAAATTGAAATTTATATATTAGCTTTAGTTCATAATTTCATGATTGCCACAAACTTTAAGCACAGGTACACAATAACTTAAAAAAAAAATTATGAAAAGCCATCCATGCATTATAAATTTACTATTTTGTGAAGTTAATGAATGCTTGTTAAATTGATTTACTCCAAATCAGTGTCATGGTATTTTAGACAAAAACCTAACATAACTTAATTTAGCGATTTAACTAGCGTATACGTGATTTGTGCCCACGTTGGTTTCCTAAAAGTATTCTTTTAGCAATTAATGATCTTTTTTTGAGGATTCCTTCAATAATTAATTGTACTCTCTGTGTTTAAAATATAATGTATGTATTTTATCATGAGAAAATACAACAAGTTTTTAAAGATGATTATTTTTTTATTCAGTCAACCATCTTCTATTTGATCGGAACTAAGTAAGAAAAATTATGGAGCTAAAGTTGCTGTCTCCCTTGAAAGTACCGGTTTCCGAAACCTTACAAAAGTAACTGGACAGAAACGAATTGATTTAGATGTTACTACTGTATTATAAGGATACAATAAATATGTACTGATATGAATGATTATTGTTTGTTATTCATGCATAATTGCATAAGTTAACAAATTTTTGCTGATTAAAAATATTTCTCTGTGTACATACTGGTACCTACTACTCGCATTACTCTATCCATCTAGGACAGAGGTGTCTTGTGATATCATCAATTCAGAGTAGAACCAAAAACTTTAATTTGCTGCCCTGCTGAAGTTCAATATTTTATCTGTTCCAGAAGTACTGAGCCATGGATTCAGATATCTTTTACTGAAATTAATAGTCATATTTCTCTTGTCAGGAAATGCCCTTAAAGCTTGACCGATAATGAAATCAACTAAAGCAATACGTTGAGTATTATGGCGATCTTTTATCAATGAAACTTGGAGGTATAAATTTAAAGATAAAACTCTTACAAACCTAGCGAACGGAACATTTTTGGTGTCGTTGTGTAGGTTGGACCTAGAAGTGGGTTAATTTGTGTGTAGGGATGGTAAGTCAATATACAGTTTTAAAATTCAAAGAAAGGGAAAATTTGTGACAATGACTTGTCAGATTGTTGTTGATATGTCGATAAGGTGTAGCTGCTTTTGTCGGTTTTCAGAGTTGTTTTGTGATTTTGAGGGTAAGTAGTTGGAATAGTTTTTACTGCTTTCGAGGTATTAAGGCACTTTTTTTAAATATATGCCACAGTGTTTGAATAAATACATAAATAAATTCATTTATATACCAGTTACAACTTATTTTATTTATATCTATGACAACTATATTCATTTCTAATGTATCAGAAGTTTACTTGGTGGTGAATTCTGGAATTTGTTTAATTATAATGTAAA